GGCCCCACAGCGCACCCTTCTGAAATTTTAGGCTGTTATCTGACGTAAAATGTAATTCGCACGGCCATCCTACGCTGGTAGCTCTGTCCGCATTTCTCGTTCAGTAAAACATGTCTACATGTAGATTTTTGTACTGCAGAAAAACTTATGCGCGGTAAGGTTCGCATCTTATTTTTGCAGCATTGTTTGACGTGATGTTGCAAATCCTTCAGATTCAATTCGGGTGCCTCTTTTGTGCCATGTTTATTGTAGAGTTATCGTGAGCGTTATTTCTGATCCCTACGACTTAACCCCTGAAACCAAAAAACCCTGCACCCTAAGCTCTGAACCCATTTCCGGAATACTTCTGCAGGAGAAAAGGTCCGACAAAAAAAACTTAATCCCCAAATCTTAGACCAATTGCCTGGACAGTTGGGCGAGTCCGTGGCTCCGCACTTGCCCACACTCAACCCGCTGGTGTCGCAGGCCACGCTTTTTGTTAGGGTTTAGCGTTTGGGGTTTAGGGTTTAGGTTTGAGGTTTGGGGTTTAGGGTTTGGGGCCATGCAGAGCCACTCTTTGCAGTAAGCTATGTCAGGGTGCCGATCGTAGCCTCCCAGCCTATTAATCCTGCATATACTGGTTGTTCTGATGGACTGGGTTGTTCATTTTTGTTCAGATTAAAGACGATGTGAGGACGCGTGCTTTCGAGGTCAACAGTCCGAACTAGGTACTGTTTCGAGGGTGGGCTTCATATTGGGGTTCCTCGCTTGAAATGCTCGATAGCGCACCTGTGTGCGTCGCAACATTGAGCAAATCGGCGTCCCCGCAGCCTCCGGGCATTTTTTCAATATTTGCCCTTCGGGCAAGCATTCACCTGACATAGGGTGGGTCTCTACGCCCGATCCCGGGCCGGTGGGTGCAAGTGCGGCCCGTCCGGCCCCGGGAATTTTTGGGCGTCTGAGGACCCCCCGCCTTACAGTCGATTTCCCAACCGCAAAAAGTGCCGTGCCACATTTTGGTGTAGGGATGCACGTCAACGAGATGTTGAAGCCGGACTGTGTGTGATTTGCCCACCTATTTTGGTACTGTTGCCCGTTACCTAGCTGAGACCTGAACTTGCGCTAGCTGGCTTTAGGGCCAACAGTGCAGTTGCCCGCGCATGATTGTATGTTGACCATCCACACTAGATGCATGACTTGATGACTTGCCCCTTGTGAGTAGGGAATGAAAGAACGGGTCCATTTTTGGAAGCGGTTGCTAAGAAGATTGCATTGAGTTTTTTTTAGGAGTTCATTCTTTCAGACCTCACTGACAAGAGGTCAGGTTGCATATGCAGGTCTGTCTCCCGATTCGTAAGCTGGACAGTGGTTCCTCTGTTCTATTGAAATGCTCAGAGTGTCCGAATTTAGCGTCCCCTTCAATATACCCCCACTAGTCAGTAAATCTTGTCCTGAGATTCATGGGCTCAGCCAGTATATGTACATGGAGGGTGCGGAAGACGTAGTGAATGCATTCATTGTGCCTGTAAGCCATACCATAACCCCAGATACCCCGATCGTTGATCTAGATGAAGTGATCCGTGGGATAGATGACCGTGGTCCTGCTTTCGAGCTGAAATTGCTTGTCCGTTCTCCTCATGTTGAGCGCTCCCATCACCCCAGTACAATCCATATTCCCTCTGACGCAAAACGGTACTATGCTGGCTATGCTTTCATGAGGGGGTTGGGGGTTTATGTTTATGGAGAGGAGAGTTCTGCCTTTCTTCAGTGACCGTGTAACGCAAATGTAACCCGCAAATTTCGTCGCCTAACAATTACCCTAGTACCTCATTAAGATTCACAATCAGTGGGTTGGCGAGCATTTCATGCAAGAGTGTGTTTCCGCAGTGCAATCTGGAATAGCTTTGATCAGCCCTGTTGTGAGCATCAAATTGTAGTGATGGACTTGAGGACATTTCTGTTGCTGTGGACATTGTCTTTGGCAACGGGTCACGGGTCCAGTGAAGAACCGAAGCATGTGGAGATCGATGATGTGACCTGGACCACCGGACTGCTGCTGATAAGCTTTGTCATAATGTCGACTGGGATTCTTTGCTTGGTGAACTCCACAGACAAGGATATCCGGAAGGCGAGCTGGTCCTTACTGAATGTCACGCTGTCAATCTTCTGCGCAGCAAGCTTTGACTTTTCAGTCGTCAGGCTTATTTACACTTTTGTGGATGAGGGGGACAGGAACTTTTTGATTGTTGTGTTTGTTTTGCAGTTTCTGGCATTCGTCTTGTTGCACCTTGGCTTCGTGTTCTGCATTCGAACAGATGATGCTCACACACAATTTGCCGTTCAAACTTTGGGTAGCCACATCTTGGCTTTTGCCAACATCACCTTCTTTGGGAACCTTCAGAAATGGTTCACCCATGAGTGGTGGCGAGTTTGGTTGGTTCCGCTCCTTGCGTTTATGGTGATGGTGATTCTCTATCGCATGCTGCTTTGTCTTTTGAAATGTTGGACAAAGACGAAGAAGCTCAAGTTGGAAATGCATTTGGCGAAGATTACGCAGATAGAAGCAGGTGGAATCAGCATCGGCTTTCTAATTGTGCAAGCCTTGTGCTATATGAGAAGTGCAGAGGAAAAGGCCGAGCTCAAATTTATGCCCGTGATACACGCACATCCAGGAGAACACAAAGCCTACACAGTCGAGTTACTTGCGCTTCTTGCTCTTGGACTGCTGGCCTCTTCTTCGTTGTGGTCTGTCTGCCTTCACCAGAAGGTTCCTGGCTTGTTTTGAATACCGTTTCATGTGCATATGTACAGGTACACTTCAACCCACTATCAAATAAGAACTATCAAAGGATTCTCCCGAGCATGAGCCGGTAACCCTGAAATCCTTAGCGTGGAAGTGGTACTCAGATTCGATGCGAGCAGTTGTCTGCTCATTTCCGTAAGGCCCAAACCCTAATCCCTCAAACTCTTAAGCCCACATACTCCTTATACATCCCTTCCGGGGACCCTAAACCCTAAACCTTTTCTACCCTGAATCAGGCTCCATGTGATGAGTTTTTCTTTGACTTCATCGGAGAGTTGGGAACCAGCACGGCTTGCTGGTGTCTCTTTAAATACCTCATAGGGTTTAGGGTGTAGAGAATTGAGGGTTTTAGGGGTCATAGGAGTTTCCTTTCAAACTTCCATTTTCTTTGAAATTTGATTCTTCATTTTGGGGCAATATCCCTACATGTCTCTCCATATAAACCCTAAACTACAGATACTGCCCCCTCCCACGGTTTGGGGTCCAAGGTCAGTCGTGTAGGGCTTAGGCTTTAGGGGTATAATGCTAGGGCAAGTACAAGCCGTGGTGGCTTAGTGGGTGGGGCAGCAGCATCCAAGGTGTCTCCAGCGCGGTGGAATCATCTTCTTCTACGGCATTTGCAAGACCCGGATGAATAGCTATCAGTTGGAGCTGATGTGGGGGTTGAAAAAATGGGCATGCCAAGGACCTAGCATTCGGGAGTGTGCTTTTGTTCTGGGGTTCTCTTTGTTTGGTCAGTACCAGGTGCAATCATGATAATCACGAATGCCATGGACATCATGGACAACATTTGATGCAGCCGATCCAGGTTGTCCACCGCGCGGTCATTGTCAACGCTTTGACCATGTCCCTTTTGGCGGTGGCCTGCATCCGGGTCATGGATAGGGTGGCGGACTGGCTCCAGGAACATGGTTGCTGCACAGGGGCCACTATGGCCACTTATACTTTAAGGGCAGCTTCAGCGTTGAGGAATGTCATGGGCGGCCTCGGTCTCTTGGTGGGCATTTGTTGGGACAAGGCCTTTGAAGGTTCTTACGAGACGGTCTTGGACCCAAAGTCAATGAGCCGCTTAGCCTTCCAGCACGATAAGATCAATAATTTCATCACCGGCCACCCAACCTTGGCTCAAAGGATGGTGGCTTGTTTGGGACTGTTGGTTTCGGCGGGTGTTGGTTATGCTTGGTATTGGCACATTGTGCCCAGTGCTATGAAAGAGGAGGAGGATCACAAAGAGGCCATTGACATTGAAACTTTATCCCACACGAACATCAAGTTGCCAAAAGCAAAAACGCTCACGGAGCGTTCGTCCAGCGACAGTGAATTTGATGTTGGCTGCTTGCAGGTGGATTCTGAAACTGACTAAAGACCAGAGCACAAAGTTTGCTCAGGGCTGATGTTGCACACGCACCTGACAAGCGCCCCCTACTGCTCAAAATGAGTAGTCCGGAACAAGGGGAAACGCACATCCCAATCCAGACCCATATTCATAGGCCCGGAAAAATTCCTCGAATTCTGTTACAGACCCCTCCGTTCCATACCATCGTGAAGAAGACTTTGCGGTGCTAACAAATCATGTCAGACCCTTCTGCAATCCGGACCTCCGGATCAGACAGTATAGGGACGTTAACTCAGGGCTCGCTGAGCCTACACCTACCTAGTTGGGAATGCGGATGAATGCGGCATGGGTACTACAAGCCACAGGCCAATAACAACCCCTATAAGAAGCCGCACATTCATCACAGTCCTCCATTCCCAACTTTTGCCCTGTGGTTAGTAGGATTTAGCCGGTCCCGGTCACTCGGTCTTAGTAATTTGCCCAAGTGTGTGGCACTTGAATTTAGTTCGCACAGCACCGCCCTGGCTTTGTTCTGCCTTAGCACGGGCTGCTGGCTGAGACAGCCGTGCGCCGGAATCATGCTGCGTGCTGCCAAAGTTATGTCACGCAGATGGTGAGCTTTCCATCCCAACAGAAGGCGTTGTTCCACTTCCACTTGAAGTGAGACATTTGGATTGTTCACCGACCGTTGCGACTACGGAGACTACTGGTGACTACAGAAGAGAGCCATAGTATAGGCCACGCTTGTGGCGCTTGGTTCGTTCATTGCGAAGAACAACTCCAGTGGTCTGTTTCATGCCTGCACAGCTCGTCATGGTTGTGTCCATTGCTTGTTTAGGCAAAATCGTGTAGAATCCTGAAGAGTTGGGAATCTTATCCTTGCGGCATCCAAGAGCTTGCAGTGCATATGCCTTACTGGTGGTTCGTGGGCATGGAGGACTGGACATGTTCCTTACTGCAGTCCCGAAAGAATCCCTTCCCATCATCCCGCATAACCCGTCACTGACCACCAGTAAGCTCAATCACGCCTCGTGCCACCTATTAAGGTGCCTGTCACGTGCATCGTGAACTTTCAATTCGCAACTGCATAAATCTTGCAGCGCTACTGCATGCAACGGCTGCAGCACCCTACTGCAGTCAGAAAGGTTCGCTGAAACTACCAGCAGGGTCGCTGGGATTGCGGCATGGGTACCACAAGCCAAGGGCCAATGACAACCCGTCTCAGAAACCGGACATTCATCACAAAAACTCATTCGTGCTCATCCGAAGCCTACACTGAACGTTGACAGCATAATTGGCCACAGGCTGGGTATGAAAGGTTCTGGAGCTTTAGAGAGCACTCGTGTTTCGTTCTAGACCCTCCTCTCTGGAGCCGGATCGCGGGGCACGTGTTTGAATCAGTAGCCATGAGACAAGATGAGCAGTTTGTAAGGTCATCCCTTCCTTTCAACTTTTCTGGTGTCGTCACGCTGGAATCCTCTCCCTGCTCAGTGTCCTATGGCTATGTGTGACGATGTAGGCGATCCCACTGAGAGCGAGGATGAAGAAGAGCCCTTGGTCATTCTGGGCAACATGGTATTAACGACAGTGAGAATAATAGTCCCACAGTGCCATACATTCTCTTCCACTACGGTCTGAGCTGCTGGGCCCCCTTGTTCAGGACCCATCCAAAATTTGCGGCGTATGTCTGGACCTCAGAAACACCTTGAGGCACTCTTCTGATCTGGCTTTCTGCCGTGTCGTCCCGGCTCTTCCTGCCGTTAAGCTTGAGACCAGAGCGCTTTTCTTCCGTAGGAGAAGGAGAATTGTTTCGTCGTTTGCCATGTAATGTGACATGCTGATATGCCTTTTTGTTTGTTCCTGCCGCCCAGGCCGACGGACAATAGTTTTCGAAGGTGCGCTGAAGGTGTATCCGCAGAAAAAGTAATGCACGCGAGGTGATCGCCGAGACACGTGCGTCCAAAGTGACGATATTCCAACCAGCCAGCTGTTTGCACGGCAGGCCAGGCGTGTTTCACAGCCAAGTCAAGCAAATGCTTGTCGTTTGGCCATGCGTATTTGCATGCCGGAGCGGGTCCGTTACTCGAAAGCCTTCCGCCTTTCGTACTTGCGCATGAAGCGTGTCAATCTTTGAGCATGAGCCACATGCTCTACTGACTCTGCTGCTCTTGCTGCTTGCTTAGCAGAACTCCCATCCTTGGAACTCCGCTAGCACAGAGCTGCTACTTGGTTCAAATAAAAGCCTTGTTATGTACGTCTGGATGCAGTCGTGCTACAGCTCGCATTGTAGGTCACCATGGCCGAAGTTCCGCGCAATGTTGCGGAGGGCACCGAGCGGGTGCTGCTCCCAGGTCCATCTGTCTCTCTCTCTCTCTCACTCTCTCTCTCTCTCTCTCTCTGCATACATATTTGGCACGTGCTTCATGGACGGCTGGCGATGGCTGAGACCTCCTTTGACAAATCAGTTGGCCTCATATTACCTCTGCTATGAGAAAGCCCGTCTGCCAAGGTGAAGAAGGGGCTGCCCGCCATGCTGAAGGGCGGTGCGACGGGCTCAGCTCTAACGAGAGGAAGGTAATTAGTTGTTTACGTACTGTGAGAGACTAGCATCCAGTTCAAGCTGCCTGGCAAAGGTGATCATGGATGTCATGAACAAAGAGCAGGCCAAAATTGCGGAAGAGGCGGGAGCCTGCGCTGTCATGGCGCTGGAACGCCGCTTGGATGCCGAGCCACTCCCCATGACAGTGGTATGAGAAAGCAGACACTCAGTCACTCAGGTATCCCAGCTGACATCCGCCAGAGCAAGGCAAGCTGCCATGAATTGCCTGCGCGCAATATACTTGGCCGGCAATGGGTACGCAGAAGAAGTGCAGGGAGTGGCCCGCATGTCGGACCCAAAGATGATCAAGGCCTGCAGCTTCAACGATCTTGCATGAGTACGCCAGCAGCACGGCTCCTTCCTTGTAAGGAGATTGTGAACTCCGTGTCTATCCCGGTTCGGAGCTCATATTCGCTGCTAACAGCAATACATGGGAATTCGCTTCGAGGTGATGGCGAAATGCAGGATCGGACATTTTGTTGAGTCCCAGGCCTTCATGTCAAGACGAACCACCGCTAGTTGCCAGATGTAGCATTTTCGAAGTCATCTGGCGCTCCTCTTCGCAGCTATCAGCTTTGCATATGATTCTGCTGTTTGGAGGTCCTGCAGCAGATTGGTGTAGACTGCATCGATGAGAGTGAAGTACTCACAGTTGCAGATGAGGCCGCATTTATCGCATTGTCACTGGCGTTTCAGATCTAGAGTAGTACAAGTCCCCAAGTACATCTGCTGTGCTGTTGTTTTGCACATGTCCACTCAGTGAGATTAGACTACGTGAGGGCAACCATGTCAACAAGACCAAGCAGTCGACCAAGCTTGACAGTCCTGGTGCCAGTGCCAAATGGAGCAGATGTGAAATGCTGCTCCTGCTCATCAGGTTCAAGGTCCCTTTTGTGTGCGAGACCAAGTATGATTGATGAATCTTCACTGTTTTATTGGAAGCGGTTCAAGCCAGGTGCGGCTGCCGAAACTTGGGCGAGGCGCTTCGACGCGTCGCCGAAGGCGGTGCGTGCTGTGTGTGGCTTCAAAAAGCTTGAAGCCGCTGGGTAGACTCGTGTAGATCAGGCGCCAGCATGATCCGCACAAAGGGCGAGGCTGGAACCGGCGATGTCGTGGAGGCTGTGAGGCACATCCGCACTCTGCACAAGGACATGAGTAGCCTCCACAGGACAGCGTATCTTTTGCATAGCGCAGGAGATGCGGATGGTGCAAATGATGGATGATGACGAGCTCTTCACGTACGCCAAGGCTGGGAATCGACGGAATTTCAAGCACAGCTTGTTCCTGTGCCGTGCGATGAAAGACGGCGCGAGATAGTAGTAGACCGAGTGCGGTGTTGCTTTTGTACGTGATGGGGCAGCAAGTCTTCATCAAATTGTATGTAATGAGCAAGACATGGTGATAACCAAAACAACGTTCTTGGAACAGAAACAAGAGCTTCGGAGCAGGAATGCAGGGATCAGGTTGCAACCTCCTGCCGCGATTGTACAGGAATGATGAGGCATGATAAGCTTTTCAAAGATATTTGGTGATGTTTCAAAGAAAGCAGCTGTCCTGCACTGTGGGATGGCGACAAATCATAGCCAGCTTGCGGGATCGTTCAGAATACATCCTGTTTGCAGGATGCTCCCACCAAGAGATACGGAGTCAACGTTTTGGAGTTTCAAGCCCCCAAAAGTCTGAAGATGGGACTTGCTTGCCAAAGCCTGTTTTGTACTGGTGATGCTGCCACCAAGAGGCCAAGCCTTCAAGCTCCCGAAAACTTGGACTCCCCTGCCAGAGCTCTGGGACTTGCATCTGATCTAGGATTTTTCAAAAGGCCACCCACCTGAAAAGGAGTCGCCGTTTTGGAGTTTTCAAGGCCTGCCGCCGCACCCACGTTATC